TTCGTTAAAGACTTTGATGGCCACAGCTCAAACATGAGAGGTTGAGCTTTATTAGCTCCACCTTGCGGAAATTCCGGATACTATTATTTTGCTTGTCGTATTATAGGAGAATTTACAGTAACTAGCGGTATTTACCGGTAACTCGTGGTATTTACCGGTAGCTTGCGGTAGACTGCGTACAGCGTACCGCAAAATAATGCGGTATCGCCCGCGCATTTTGAATGGCTGCATCTGTACATTACAGTGCTCATTACCACTATAAGTACAATAGAAGTTTTTTTAGAAAGAAGCCGTTCACTTGTGATACTTTAGCTGCTTAGTTACATGATTTCATATAAATAACTATCAAATGATGTTAAATCAGTACATTTATCTTTTTACAATAACAGCAAGTTGTGTTCTTACTACATATTCTTAGAAAAGGATAAAATGATATAACTTTTTATGGAGGACAGAATATAAGCCTAATAATGTTAGAACAAGCATGTTCAAAAAACAGAACCCACTGTAAGTTACCAAGTTAAAGACTTTGATGCATTAGATATTTATGCATAATTAAATTATTTATAATGAAGGTGGACAATCTTGCCTTTATAAAATATACTGTCTTTTTAATGTTGAATTATTTTAAATGCTGTAAAACACAGTTTAAAATTATTAAAAGTCTAAAGAGTATTTAACTTAAATTCTTAATTGAAAAAAGATTGTCCTTCAGCAGTGACTGGGATTCGAAACCAGGTGTTTTCTGGCGACAGCTCAAATGCTGTACATGAGACATTAAGCCTTATTAGCTCCACCTGGCGGTTTTACAAGGTGCTTCCAGATACTATTATCCTATATCAATAAAAATGCGGTAGGATGTGTTATATAGCACTAAGTCCACCGCAGCATACCTTGGTCACTTTGAATGGCTGGATCTGAATAGATGCTGAGATAGTTAATTAGATAAAGAGACTTAGAAAACCTTCTGAATTCTCGCTTGCTCCTTTATACTTTTCAGTAGAACTGGATACCTAAGGCTATCACCAATATACATTCCTGGATCATTCCCCAACTTAATCAAATTAGATGGTTTCATCTTAAGAAAAATGATCAAAAAGAAAACCTGACATATTTCCAAAATAACTAAACTGTGGATCTCAGTGAGATCAGTCCTGCAGTGAGACTAGTGTTGCAGTGAGACTAGTTTTAAGAGTTGGCACAGACGTAATTTCTGAAGGTTCCGTGCTTACCTGTTGACCACGATTTACTAAATACAGTAGTTATACTATAACAGTGTCAGGGAACAAGTTATTTCAAGACTTGTGTAAGGTGAAGTGAATGGAGTAACTCCTGTTGCTGGTTCAGGCTGAAGTTATGTTCTTTTTAGTTGTTCTTTTTCAAAAAAAGTAGGCAAAGTGGGTAACAAGATTAGGGAGGAATGTCCTCAACCAGGCCCCAGTTTAGAGATTCCTCCTACAGTTACATTCATCTTTGGAATATAAGCAGTGAAAAGGCTTGACAGGTAGTTAATGTTTGTAAGACTTCCTCCCCATTCAACTGGTTAAGTGGGATGTACCACAGATCGAAACGTTTCCCTCAATATTTTAGATGTGCATTTCTCATTAAAAGGGCCACAAGTAGAAAGTAGTATAATCTGTACAAGTGAGCATTGAAACATTAAATAAAGCAGTAATTACTTCACTTCATTCAGACATTTTGTACCATGTTCTGAACAAGATTTAACAGCTTGGCTCGCTACTCAGAATTGATTTGGGACATTGAGAAAAAACAGATTTGATAAATACATACCTCCCGCAGGATTACTTGTCATACTTTTCAATCAATTGTCCTCTTCATAGACCTGGAACATAACTTTTCTAAACACTTTCATAAGAACGTCCAAACCATTTTAATCTTTATGAATTCCTTATGTGTGCAAGATGTACCCCCACCTATTCATTCCCTTTGCAGGCATGTGAATTTGTAACAAAATCCATGCATTTCAAAAGCCTCTAGCCTGACCCTGCTATTCTGAGTGCCCAGCTCTCACATCCTTGTGTTGCCTTTGACCATAGATTTTCAGTTGCCTCTCTTCTGTTAGACCTTCCCTATTTTTTCACTCCAGTTCGTGCTACTGCTGATCTACACCATACGCCTGCATTGTACTGGGAGTTTTTACAGCCTCCATTTAAAATGAAAACATATATTGTTTTTAAAATCTATATTGTGTTTTTCAAGATATGTGCAATTCACATTGTTGTTGCCTTCAAAAAAGTTTCACACGATTGTGAATGCATACAAATATTTTGTTCATTATGATTTATATGAAAAGTGATCATTAAATAAATCATTAAATCATTTCATACAAACCTGTGGTAATGATCTGAATTTATCTGAATGATTTTAAATTAGGTTCTCTTTTTTTAATAACTTGAGTTAAGGCTCTGTGCCACTTTTTCTAAATGACCTATTCTTGATGCCATTCTCTGTTGTGCTCATAGAAGGACTTAACCAGTGTTTTTGCTACCAAGGAAATTAATGTCATGATATTTTCTTTTTGGTTAATGTTTGGTCCTGACAATCTGATTAGTAGATATGACAGTCCAAGTGTACATCAAGTCTTGCATTGGTGGTTGTGGTCGTGGAGCACACCTTTTATCTTAGGGACTAGCAGGTAGCTGTTGTTGTTGTGTTGTTGTAGCCATTAAGAGAAATCACTTTTAGCCTCATGCTTGCTCCTGCCTGAGCATGCTCTTAACTTGAAGTTTGTGGTCTCCTCCCTCAGGGTCCATGTACGAAGGACTGACAAGGTAGGGACAGAGGCAGCCTTCCACCCCATTGAGGAGTACATGGTTCATGTGGAGGAGCACTTCCAGAGTCTGGCCCTGAGGACCCACGTTGACAAGAAGCGCGTCTACCTAGCAACTGATGACCCTTCTTTATTGCAGGAAGCAAAAGCAAAGTAAGTTAGTAAAAAAAAATTACATTGATTAATTTCCCATTGAATCTCATGATTGATCTAATTGGGAAGTTGGTTCATATATAATCACTGGACATACCAGTGATTTTGAATTGCAGGAAGCTGTATGTGAAAAGGGTTCTGGATGATAATATAGATTCATCTTTATCCTAAAGACAATGCAGGGAACCATTAAGAATGCTTACACAGCTACCTACTTAAACTTTTTGACTGTGTCTGTAACCTTCACAATATCAATCAATATCAATATCAGTATCAATATCAATATCAATATCAATATCAATTCAATTGGAGGGTCACAATTAGAAACTAGCAAGTAATTAATTTGGGATGGGGAATAGAAAACAATTATTACAACAAAGAGTTGTTGGTTCCTGGAAGAAGCATTCCAGCTAGATTGCTGAGGCCAAAACTGTTGGTTCCTAAAACAAGCAGCTGGGTGATTTTTTCTTTATTTCCTTTCTGAGTCAAACTGACTGGCTTTTTTGATCCATGGAATGTCCTTATGTTCTTATGACTTTTGTTTGTATCACCAAGATCTGGATTACATCAAAATGTCAGCTCATCCTGTCCAGCTACAAATTATAATCCAGTATTTACTTTATAGAAGAGATTTTGTAATTAAGGAGAAGTCAGCATCAGTTGTCAGGTTTTTGATTTGTGATTATGCAGATGGTTGAAGCTTTAACTGAATTCATAAGAGATAATTATAAGACATTACAACACGTTATAGAACAGAAGAAATTAAATGTAAACAATTAGACAAAGTCAATCTCTGGGCTCCCCACAATGGTATTTTTTTAATTTTAGTCTTTGGGGAAGTGTTCTTTCTTCATGGGTTATGTAGGTTAGTAGTAGTAGTAGTAGTAGTAGTAGTAGTAGTAGTAGTAGTAGTAGTAGTAGTAGTAGTATTTTCCAGGACTATAAAGAATCTAGTGAAAGGACATGCTGTATCAGTACTGATCCTCGGTATCCATAGTTTTGTCTTTTAACTAAGTATAAACTGAGTAAGACATATGTGTTAAAAATAAATGACATTTTAAAATGCTTAACCTCTCTGAAGTAAGGGGCAACAAACAGAGTTGTTCAAGTTTGATTTTTAAACTATTCCCGTTGTGTGTTTCAGGTACCAAGATTATGAATTCATAAGTGACAATTCCATATCTTGGTCTGCGGGCCTGCACAATCGCTACACAGAGAATTCACTGCGGGGTGTCATCCTTGATATTCACTTCCTCTCCCAGACAGACTTTTTGGTCTGTACTTTCTCATCACAGGTCAGTGTCTCCAAATCAGATGAAATTCCTCAATATGTCAGATGTGCTTTGAAGACAGTCATCATCATTCTGCATTCTAGTCTACCATATATAATGCCATATATTACTTATACCATATATTAGTTTTCTTATAAACCACAAGTTTTGAAAATATTGAGGAATAGTTGTGTGATCATAGGAATGTGTATCTATAAACCAGCTAACTTAATAAGGAAGCCCGAAATATAGTTATTTCAACAGGTATTTTTCAGCACTGATATGTTTGTGAAATAAAAAATAAAAGGCGTTGAGCATTCCTCTGAAAACCATTTCACCAAGTGTACTCCACACAATCTTTTTAACTACATGCACTTTAACACATGGCACATACAGTATGCCAAATCTTAAGACTGTCATTGGAAACATCTTCCACATAATCCATGTTGCCAGGCCACTTCAGATTTATTGGAAAATCTTACATAGCAGTAATCTTAAAAGGTATTACTTTAAATGACATTTTTGATAACCCCCATGTTTTTATGATTAATTGACATTGCTTCGTTTTACATTTAGTGTTGTTTCAGGGCATATTTAATCTGATAAATACCTCTATTTTTTAATTCTTTTACTTGTCAAAAAATCAAAAACTTGTTTTTAATGTTAATTTGTGGAAACATGGTTAATATACCAGTTGTAGAGAAGTAATAAATGTCACTCATTAGAGAATAATGTATAATCTACTAGTTCTTGAATAACATTCTTAAATCAATTTCATTGGAATAATTGGAAAATTTGAAAGTTTAAAGTTTTTGATTGCAATGCAGATTGTCAGGTGCCTGAAATTCAACCAAGAATTTTAAGGGCTATTTAATGAAGATATTTACATATTGAAGCTACATTTCCTTTCATCAATCCATGTGGGTTCAAGCTGTGAGCTTCTTTTTGTACTGTTAATCTGAAGTGAAGATTTAATGGTAAGGCATAAGAGCTACCCATCACAAATTTCACTTGATAGGTGGATTCTATGATACGATTATACTAAGCAAAATGTTTACTGTTACTTGCTGCAGTTATAAAAAAATCTTTATTAAAGTTAAAAAAAAGAGCAAAATTTAAATCCAAGACAAAAGTTCTGAACAAGAGTGTGTCAGTCTTCCAGTTTCTCTGGAATAATTCGAAAAAAAAAAGCTCTTATGCACAGTTTTATGAAGGTTAATTACAGTACCTTGCAAAGTATGCATCCCCTTGGACATTTTCACATCTTATTGTGTTATAGCATGGAACCAGGATGTATTTAACTAAGAATGTTTGCTACTCATCAATACAAAGTACTCTATAATGTCAAAATGAAAACAAATCCAGACATTTTACTAAATTAATGAAAAATTGTGCAAGGCACTGTACCTCATTTAGCTCAGTCAAATAATGAGTCTCTGCTTTCTTAATGCAAGAAATTGTTTATGGCTAATAAAGTGAACTTATCCTGTTTGTTTTTTCCATATGTTCCTGTGTTGTATCTGTGCATTCTGATTGTGTTGTCATTCATAGGTTTGTCGAGTGGCCTACGAGATAATGCAAACCCTCCACCCTGATGCCTCATCATATTTCCATTCACTGGATGATATCTACTACTTTGGAGGACAGAACGCTCACAACCAGATAGCCATATACCCTCATCACCCTCGGACTGGAGAGGAGATCCCTCTTGAGCCGGGTGATGTCATAGGGGTAGCTGGGAACCACTGGGATGGTTATTCCAAAGGAATCAACAGGAAGATTGGCCGAACAGGGCTATATCCATCTTACAAAGTGAAGGAAAAGATAGAGACAGTGAAGTACCCAACGTACCCTGAAGCCGACAAGCAGATGCATCACTGAACTGATGGAGAGTGTTACTGGGTTTTTCCTTAATGCACACTCATCTCAGCTTGGCATTCACTGGGAAAGGGTACCTGCTTTCGGTTGTAAAAAATAAAAAAAATCTACTGTTACATGAAGGAATTGTGATCACCACTGTTTCTAAACAGGAACTGGACTAATGGTTGATACTTAAGACAATTCAGAAGTACCATCTGCTGAATGGGTTGTTGTTGTTTTTTTTTAAGGAACACCTTATCCCTCCCTGTTTTCATTGAATGTATCCTACCCAGGAACCAACCAATCTCTTTTTACTAGATAGACTTCACCCCCACCCCAGCACCACAGCTTATTCATTGGGTCCGATCATTTGCTATTAATTTACAATCCTTAAAATTTCACACTGCCATTTTGTGCTTTTAATGAGTGATATGAACATTTTTAGTTGTTGTGTGTGTCTGAATACGGTGCCTAAAAGAATTAAAATTCAATGGCTTTTTTTTTAATTGCGCTGTTGTGATCAGTATTGAAACCGAAGTGAAATTTGATCCTTAACTGTAAGATGCTTCTTGCATTGAGAACTGTGCCTCAACTGCAAGGCACAGAGAAGTCTGAACTCCATGAATGGTTCATTTGTTTGTTTGTTTGTTTGTTTGTTTGTTTGTTTTTAAACTTTTAACCTTATTGAGTTTTAATAAAGAAAAAAAGTCAATTGAAATTATCATTGTCATTACAAATTTTGGTAGCTCATGAAGAAATTTTCATACTTTTAAGTTTATGGGCATTGTCTTTGATAAAGGAACAAATAAATCTGAATAAGCCATTTAGTGTGTTCATTTCTGATTCTTCTTTTAGATCTTTAGATTAAGCTGGACCACATTATTCCAATATTATTAATCCTGACAGGGCTTCTAGGTATGCTTTTATACAATTTGCAGCAGTGTGTTTTAAGTGTGTTAAAAGTCAAAGTCACACACTTAAATTTTAAGTGATAATTAGAAATACAAATAATTTAGAAATTAAAAAAAACAATTGTTCAGACATGTTCACACATGTACTTGGTTTGAAGACTAAACAGTTTGGGATGTGGGACGTCAGCTGCCTGGCTGGAATATGACAGCTTGAATGTTGGAACACTCCCACTTGGCGGGCAGAGCAGAGAGATGAATGCAAGTGGAAGGATGGAGGTTTGTATGACAGAAAATGAATACTGAAAAGGGGGTATTCAGATGCCTTCAAACATCAGAAACACCAGAAATCCTCCCAAATGATGTGAGAGACCGATAAACTCTTACAGAAAAGTTATTGCTGCTGAAGGGGGTTGCACGTTATTGAATCACGGGGTGCACTTACTTTTTCACTAAAGGCTTCTGAATGTTGCCTGATTTTTTTATTTAATGAAGAAAATGTGTGTGCTATTTGTCACACGAGATTAGATTTATCTACTGGACTATGTGAAGGTCAAATATGTATTAATACTGTATATAAAACCATAGAATCTTAAGAAAGTGTACTGTATTTTATTTTTCACATCAATGTGTTTCTTGTACAGTATTGCAATAACAATTCATTCAAACCATTTAGTTGCAGACTGCAAATTTGTGTGCAAATTGTTACAGGCATTTCAAATTTAGAGAGAGAGGACCTAATAAAAGATTAAGTTTACAATAACAAAAAAACTCCCTGCAGAGCCTGGTATTTCAGCTGCAACTGGTTTTCTTAATCCTAATTTACTGCCATATTCGAGTCAACTAGTAAGAAACTGTTCTAAAGAAAGAGTGCTTATTGTAATATTTTAATTTAGCCCACTTGCTTTGTGGAACAAAGGGAGTTGAAGCCTCCCTATGAGAAACCAAAGAACACACTTGGATAGAGTAGTCTAGATGCATATATTTATACCCTACTAAGTAGGGAAATGGAGGATTTAGGTGTTGTCTTCTGCTTGAAATTCCATTATGACTTAACTGCTATAAACCAAGGAGTCATTGAGTAAGACTTACATTATTCTGTCTATTGCTGCTTAGTCTTGGGGAATTAGGGTTATAGTACTTCTTTAATTTTATTTTTAAAAATCTGTTCTGGACTTGGATTAAGTAGTTTACCAAAGTTGGGCATCCATCTGTAATGTGTGTTAAAATGTTATTACTATGATGAGAGGAATCAATATTTTCAGGAGACAGACTATGAGTAATCACAGTTTGTGGTAATATCCAAAAACAGAAATAATAAATTGTAGTTCAGGGTGCAACTACAATACATAATTAAAGAGGATACTAAAAACTTTGTATTGACATGCTGTGATATTTCTATAGTGTCTGGAATTCAAGTGGGTTATCCTGTCATTTTTTAAATGTCTACACTAAAATGTTGTGTTGTTCTACTCTTTTCAGTCAAGGTTTTTTTTTTAATACAGAAATTGATTTCTATAGTGATCATTTACAGAATTTTAACATGTGCTTTTACCTCTATGGGTGTAGAGAGATCAACAGATTATGCAAATACTGAGGAGCACTTTGCTCAATTAATTGATTGGGAAAGTGTGTTCTTTAAAGAACAGCACACGTATTAGATTAAGCTCAAATCCTAGAGTGTAAGGAGGCTCTAGAGCAGCAAAAATAAGAAAAGTTACAAATCAGAGGTCTTACAAACCATGTAGACTGTTTGGTAGTTAGTAGCTAATTGATCCAAGGGTTTCATCCAGCCTTCTCTTGAAGGAAGCCAAGTTATTGGCTTCAACAATATGGCTGAATTGCTTGTTCCATACTCCCACAACGTTTTGTGTAAAGAAATGCCTCTTATTCTCGGATTTAAATGCACTTCGCCATAGATCCATTTCTGACATCTGATTTCAGTGTTGTTTCTGAAGTCCATATGATTGCCTTTATCAATGCCTTGGAAGATCTTGAATATGTAAATCAGGTACCCAAGTAGTCAAATGTTGAAGAATAAAAATGTAATTATATCTTTTACCTGGTTGTTCTTTTCTGGATCAATTCCATTGTTTATTGACAATAAAGTGACACAAATAATGAAAAATGACTATAGAAAATATAGCAGGCTGTGGCTGTGTTATCAAGTACAAGTTAAACATTTCAGCTAACCCTGCAGATAGTTCCAAGTCATTGGTAGTATAAAATTGGAATGGTTTGTGTCCGTTGTTGATAATTGCTCTTAGGAGCTTTAGTTTGATAAAGATATATCTTAAATTGTAGGATGTTACAGAAAACTCCTTTAAATTATTGAGATGGGAAGATACGTAAATGATTTTTAAACAGTGAAGCCATTTAGTATGAACAGAACAGAAGTATGAACAGAAGGCCAATCAATCAAAGAATAGTGGTCACTAATGTGTGCAATAGGCGCCACTACAGTAAGTGATAAATCATGTGGCAGAAATGTGGTATGTGAGCCATTCATCCATTTTCTAATTGCTTTATCCAATACAGGGTTGCGTTGTCATTGTGATCCACACACCCACATGCTCATAAGAACTCTGTACAGGAGCCAGCGGATGGTGTGGTTAACCAAAAACACCACACTAATCTAGCATTAGGAAGTAAAGGCACTGTATTAAGATCTGAGACTCCAGCCTCATTATGTGTTGTAAATCTGCGTGTACAGAAAATGAGCTACAGTATTTAAGTCTTGTTAACACGGTTTGTGTAATAAATTACATATCAATCTCCAGGCTATCACATGTTGTGTTTAAAATGTTTAGGAGAGGAAATGAGGAGTGATTGTTAATTGCTAAGTGACAACAGAGTCTGATTATCTTTTTTGTTGTCATCCCACCAAATTTAAGGGCATCTTTAAATTCTTAATTCTAAATTTACAACTGTTAAATAACTCAATTTTAAAATTGATCATATTGGGATATATAAAATTAATAAAATGTCAGTGTAATATACTGTACATATTATATTACTAAAGAAAGAGTCTTTATCTCTTAGAAGTACAACTCATGTGTTTGCCTGGAAATCAAACCCAGGAACTTCCATTTGGCAGGCAAGCACCCTACCACTAAACCAAAACATCACTGTTAGAGCAAGCTACATTAAAAACAACCAAGGTTATTTTTCCATTTTCTACAGGCATTTCATTGTCATTTACAACAATAATGACAACAAGTATTTCATGGAAAAAGTTATGGCTTTTTATAAAGTAGTGTGGTGTCTCCAGGGGATAAGCAGGTGTAAAAGGGATGTTACGCACACCACACTGATCTTATCCGTTTCTTTGTCCGTATGTTTTCCCAATTCCAATCCGTAACCCTTTCCAGTATCTTTAAACAATCCAAATTCCAAAGTCCTTATGTTCACACAAATGAACAAATCCGTACCGTAACCAAGTCTTAATCCGTAAACCGTAGTCCGTTATACCTTAATCCTTTCAACCACAATCCTAATCCTCTTCTTCTTCTTCTTCCTCCTCCAAAACGCATTCACTTTATCAGCTTACACACTGGGTCACCGCTTCTGGGGCATTTATATTTTGTTTCCTTATGTAGCTTACCTGTTTCTCACTGTTTCTCAGGGTAGACCTTTTCCATATATGGGTCAGCTGATTCTTCTTGGCGGCCATTTTGCTTAGATCTATAGCAAGTATATTTAGTAGGTCATTCCGAAAATACCTGTTATGAATGACCCTTCCCTAGTCATCTTACAGTATATAAAATTTATACAGTTAGAATGAACTTGTCAAAAGACTGATGGGAAAACTGTGAAAAAAGGTGAGATACTGTAGTGTACCTAATTTACCTAATTTTTAAAAAGTTTAGCTACCACTATTCATACGGTATTTGTATAATTAATAAATTACACAATTAATACTAATTAATTGACTAAACAAAAGTCATTAATATCATTCAGAGATATTATTATAGTTCTGTTATTATTATTTTCAGCTACCAAAAGTTTTCTTTATTTAATTATTAAGCGTATTTAAGGAAGTTCAGTAGGGAAACAGAATAAATAAAACAATCATTTACTAACATCTAATGCACTACCAGTGGCCAGTGAATGACACTGAGTATTGCCAGGCGTTCTAAATGGCTGCATCTGTACAAATATTTTAAAAAATCCAGTCAGTTTCATCAAAACCACAGCCCAACTGACTTTCTCTTAGCTCAGCATTTTGAACTCCGCATGAGTGGTTCTTTTGGGTAGGACCTCAGCAACCACAGCCATCTGGCAAGCCTGACAATCACCTCAGCTCTTCAAGCTACACCTAATATATTGCTTGTCGGCCGTAAGCGTTACACTCTCCCCCGCTTAAATCGCTGTCCCCGGCGAAGGGTTATCCCACCCCGCTCTGACACCAATGTAACGCAACGGGGGCTCAGGCAGGCGCCCTTGCCGCAACTGGTCGGCCCCATCCCGACTGGAGGCTCGAACCCGGGACTTCCGCGTCTCTCTGCAGCGACCCAGCCCCGTGAGCTAAAGAGAGATCTGACACTGAGTATTGCCAGGCGTTAGAGAGAGAGTATCTCTCTTTAGCTCACGGGGCTGGGTCGCTGCAGAGAGACGCGGAAGTCCGGGGTTCGAGCCCCGGACGGTGCAAGGGCCGACCAGATGCGGCAAGGGCGCCCGCCTGAGCCCCCGTTGCGTTACATTGGTGTCAGACCCGCCTGAGCCCCCATTGCGTTACATTGGTGTCAGAAGCGGGGTGGGATAGCCCTTCGCCGGGGACGGCGATTTAAGCGGGGGAGAGTGTAACGCTTACGGCCGACAAGCACTGTGTGTAAGAGCCGGCGTACCAGAGCGGGTGACGTCACCGCCCTTCCCTGTGATAGCAGGACTACAGCTAGTGGGCTGTGGAGAGATCTCTCTTTAGCTCACGGGGCTGGGTCGCTGCAGAGAGATGCGGAAGTCCCGGGTTCGAGCCTCCAGTCGGGATGGGGCCGACCAGTTGCGGCAAGGGCGCCCGCCTGAGCCCCCGTTGCGTTACAATATACTGTATCTTGTTTCTCTTACACATTTATCTAACTGAACCACTGAAGAAGTTTTCATCAATATGAATTAAAAAGTGTTTTTTTCTCACCCAAAATAAGCTGTATTCATAATAAAAATGTTATAAAAGTAGAAAGAACTAGTGATAGCTTGGAGCAAACTGTTGATATTTATTACATTGTCACTCCTGTTTGTGTTAAAGATGTCCAAGACTTTTGCACAGCAGTGTGTAAGAACACACATCAGGGAGACCCAATGACAAGAGCTAAATAAAGAGAGTAATTTTGCAGTCAGTAGAATGAACTAAAATCTGATGAATCCCTGTTGTTTCTTGTTAACAAAGGGAATATAAATTACTTGGAAAGGAACTGTGCATTCTTTGTGCACACACCTGATCGAACATTGACACAAAGTACAGGTTATCGCTACAGGATGACTAAAACTGGTGAGATGCATAATCAACTTAGGTTTTAGTGCATGACTCCTTTGTTGATTTACTCTTCATTCCTATTTCCACCACTGTGAATCATAATACTATTTTGTCATAGTTTTTTTTTTTCTTATCTGTGGATGGAGTATAAAGGGGTGATTGAGGTTAAAAATCTCTAGGTTCTCAATTGAAAGATACTGGCTTTCATGGATTTGGGTTTGGTTGGCTCTCATTTCCACTGATACACAAGGTCCAGGGAACTACTTCTCATGTTTGTTAGGGTTTATACGTTTTTAAAGGAGACATTGCTTTTGGAATCAAAAGTTAAATATTAAAAAAATGATCTTCATTCTGAATATATTACTCTTCCTTACAAATGGAAAAAATGGTACAAATTTAAAGAAAGAATTAAGCAATGCACTAATTCATTATATCATATCATTTTTTTCTTGGACTATGGTCAAGTACCACAAGCAAGTCTGTTGCTCAGTGATATTTATACAGCAACTTAATTCTCCCTGTACTAAAATATGACATTAAATCCATTGGTGCTCCTCTGTAAGAAAAAATATTTACAAAAGACCAAACATACAACAAAAATATTATGCACTAACTCCATGGAATTTCTAGCATTACTAAGAATAATAGCATTATTATGAATATCAAATCTAGAACAAATGGAGATATGTTACAGCACAAAGATGAAAGTCCATACCATCAGTGCCAGATTAAACACCCTAAATTCCACCCCAGCATCTTTTTTTTTAGAGAACTTAAACACCACAGTTGTAGCCACTTAGCTATGAATTAATACAGACCATAACAATGACATTTCAGTGTTCTTTTTAGTGTTTATTGTTGGTTTATTGATTTTTTTAACCAAACGGTTAATAAAATTGTTGATT